GGGTGGAACTGTGTTGTATCTGTGTCTGTGACTGTGGAGTTCATCACTGCGTGCCCTCGTGTGTGATTCGTCACTGTGTGCGTGCGTTTGGGTGGGACTGTGTTGTATCTGTGTCTGTGACCGTGCAGTTCATCTCTGCGTGCCCTCGTGTGTAATCTGTCACTGTGTGTGTGTGTGTGTGTTTGGGTGGGACTGTGTTGTATCTGTGACCGTGCAGTTCATCACTGCATGCCCTTGGATACGCTGGTGCCAAGTGTGCTGTTCATGGCTGTGGGCACTGTGCTAACCCTGCTTTCCCCGGGCAGACGGCCATGACCCTGAATGAGCGATTCCGCATCCTGAAGGACCAGCGCTCGGAGGTGGCGCAGAGCAGCAAGAGCAGCCGATTTGTCACCGTGGGATAACAGTATGCCGAGGCAGCCAGTCAGAGAGAGATGCTACTCATAGACCCCTCCCATCCCCCCAGCCAACACTCTCACTCTCAGATGCGCCGGACCCAGGGGGAGAGGCGAGGAGGGGGTGGACAGTCCTGCCCCGGCAGGGAAGCACAGGCCCCCTCTGAGGTCGGGCACCAGACACAGACCCTCCTGTGTGCTTTTGGTTGACTCGTGGGGGCAGGGGCAGAGGAGGGAGGGGATCTGGAAATGAGGAAACGAGAGAGAAAAAGTTGTAAAAACAGAAGATGCTGCAGCTCTCCCTCCCATCGCTGAAAGAGTTTTGGCGTTCCTGTTGGATATAGTTATTCTTCCTTGTTGTTTTTTTTTTTGCATTGATCCTGTTATTCTCATATTTGATATTTGTTACTGTGTACGTTCAGGAATGTTTTCGGTGTTCTGAATAGCAAAGGGAAGTTGGCTGAGGACGATGCTCTGACGCACACTCGGTTTGTGTTCTGGGAGGGGGAGGGAGTGGGGGGTGGTGGTCTTCCAGCAGGTGGGGGCATTGAAATTGTGTTGGGTTTTTTTTAGACTTTATCATTTTGAGTTATCTAGATTTTCTTTATCAAAGACAATTCAGAAAAGGGCTGCTTTTATTTTGAAGAGTCTGTGTTTCTTTACAGCATGGAATTACCTACATAACCTGAGGCCCTTCCAGTACACTCCAGATCTCACACTGCCATCACCACCAGCTCCTTCGGCTTCGACTCCATGAGGAATGTCAGCAGTATTGGATTGGTGACTGTGAAGGAAGGGTACACTGGAAGGGCTGCACATGGAGTGTCTTGGCTTTAGAGCAGTGATGGGCAGTTCTGGTCCTCAGGATTTCATTCCGCCTCCAATCATGAAGAACTGATTATTTGCAAAACGAGTTCACCTATTTTATACTTTATGATGTTGCCAATTGGAACATACCTGGAAGCCCTGCAGGACTCCAGAGCTGCCTGTCCCTGGGGCAGAGTAACACGGCTGTTGTTCGACCCCTGCCGGCTAAGTAGTGCCGTTTTCCGAAATGCCAGACTCGGAGTCAAGCAGGTTGGCCTGGTTTTTGCATGGCAACACTAATGTACTTTGGTTTTATAGGAGTGTATTTTATTTTGGTTATGGTTTTGTGACTTTGCTACACCTCGCCCAGCTCTGACATGGGCTTCAGTGTTGTTTTTAATTCTACTTTTGTTGTTTGTGTGTGGATGTTTTTTTTTTTTCATGACATTTTTGCTCTGTTATTGGTCTTTATGGAAGATGTTCACATAGACATAAACGTGCAGGGTATTTTCTAAAAAAAAAACAAAATAAATGTTAAAATGTTTAACCATTTCAATGAATTATTTTCTGTAGTCTGTTTTTTCCTGCGCAAATAAATTCATACTATTAAGACTATGCGCCTTGCCCACACTCCGTCAATTCCCTACTCGCTTTCATGTTCAGGCACCACGCATGCTCTATGCCCTAAAGCCGGGCTTTTATACGCATGCTCCTTGCCCACACTAGAATCTCCCCTGCCGGTGGCTTCAGAACGCCCTCAGTTGCTGCGCAGACGCAAAGTATGTTCAGTCCCACCGACTGAGAGACGGTGGGAGTTAGCTCTATAATGGCGGCTGCGGTCTTGCTGTCGGCTGAGGGCCCCGGTCCCGGTGTGCCAGGAGTCCCCGGTAGCGGACCAGGAGTAGCGGGACCCGCCTCCTGGAACCGCTCACTCGACCGAGCCCTGGAAGAGGCTGCAGTAACGGGGTTCCTCAACCTCAGCGGCAGAAAGCTAAAGGAGTTTCCGAGGAGTGCCGCCAACCACGACCTCACGGACACAACCCAGGCCGGTAGGCAGCGCCCGAGGGCCGCTGAGGGATGCTGGAAGAGACCGGGGGGCCGGGAAAACAGTCCGGGCACTCCCTAAATTATAGACCGAGAATGTGCGGCTCTGCGAGCGGTTTGCAGGCGGGGAGAGACGGGGTCTGTGCGCGTTACTGAGCGTCTGCAGTTGCTTGACATGTTCAGTAGCCGCTCCGTCAGACAGCTGTTTTGAGTGATGGTGGAATGGAAAAACAGCTCGGCTCACGCGTGTTATTAGTTACATTGCAATTCGTGGCTGATCATATTATCATGAATTATTAAGAAGAGGTGTGTAGTCGTGGCTGGGAGAGCATTACGGTTCCTTGAGAGCTGTTGTAGCTGTTGTGAAGTTTGTCGGAGTTGGGCTGTGGCGGAGCAATGTGTTCGTTGCCGTGATGATCCACGCAGGACAGCGCCAGTTCGTGGGAGATCCCTGTCTCCCCCACGCATAGAGTAGCGGAATGACTGGAGAACAATCACGATTTTGTCCTTGCCTTGTGGAGTATAAGACACCCCTCCACCCCACTCGGCAGCCGTGAGTCCGCTGTGGAAATAGCCCTCGTGATGTAAACACTACCCACAGCCCTATGGGAGCCGGGAGGTGTGGAGGGTCGTAACACCTAGCGGACTGATATGCATAGATAAGCCTCTCTGGATGTCTTGCTCCATTGCTAATTTGTTTGTGTATGTGACAGGGATAACTTTATTTTGATCAGTTTCTGGCAGTCCCGTTGTGGACACCCCTGTGGAGAGTTTGGGCAGTCCTGGGTGTGGATGTTCGCGGATGGGGTGGGGAGATGACACACAAAAGGCGCACACTGACTTTGTGTAAAACAGGCTTGTATGCTTTCATGCAGAATGACACTGGCTGTGTACACACACCCACACAGTGTGCAGACTGCCGGCCTAGCCCAGGAATCCACCTGTCACACTGTTCAGAGGGACAGTCAGGCTGAGTGAGACAGAAGCACTTTGCTGTTGGCAGCGCTGTGGGATGTTTCTTTGTGCTTAGTAGTGAGTCAGAACGTATTAAATGATGGGAAAGGCTGAGGCAGAGCTGTCCTGGCACACGGTTATGGTGTGTTTTGGGGGACACTGGAAAACCGACAAAGGAGCTGGTTCTTTTTCACTTTATATATCGGGATTAGAGATCTTTCAATTATTAGGCTTTGCCTTGCAGCATAGAATCTAGTGAGGTGCTCGTTCGTTTCTTCCTCTGAACTTTCTGGAGACAGAAGGGATTTGCGCTGAGATCTGAGGACGGATAGCTTGATCCACAGTCCCCCACTCGATCGGCAATTCATATCCGTAGTGTTAAAGTAATTATAATTGCTTACACTTATATAGCGCTTTTCTGGACACCCCACTCAAAGCGCTTTACAGGTAATGGGGATCCCCTCCACCACCACCAATGTGCAGCATCCACCTGGATGATGCGAGGCAGCCATAGTACGCCAGAACGCTCACCACACATCAGCTATCAGTGGGGAGGAGAGCAGAGTAATGAAGCCAATTTATAGAGGGGGATTATTAGGAGGCCATGATTGGTAAGGGCCAATGGGAAATTTGGCTAGGACGCTGGTACAATATATAACAGAGATTGGAGATTATTGAATGTGTGCGTGTGATGATCTGTCAGTGTATGTAGGTCAGTTCTGTGTGTCTAGCGTGGTATTGATCAGAGGGACTGCACAGTTATTCTCATGAACAGCCCTTATCTGTGTAAACTGGCACCTCATCTGACAGGGGGGAGTGTGCTCAGTGTTTCATTTGCTTGTGGGTATTGTTTCTTTTTTTGGGAAGAGAGAGACAAGGTGATATTTGAGGGGGGGGGGAAGAAATGGATTAACATTTCTAAAGTGTGGTAGACATTTCAATCAAATCCCTGCTGCAATAAATTATTATAATAATAACATGCAGTGCTGCATGTCGGGAACAGGGAGGCGGTCCCTGCAAGGGTGATAAAGGGTTTATCACAAGTCATGTGATGTTCTCAGTTTGTACAGTGGCACGTTTACCGCAAGTAAGGAACTGACAGTGTGGGATTGAAGAAACGACTGTGATTTCATCTCCCTTGCTACAGGCTGCTAACTTGAGCCAGATCTCACCTGCTGGCGTTGACTCAAAAAAGGAAAGAGGCCTCACGTAGAGGTCGGTGATGCCAGCGAAGGCGAAGATGTCTGGACTGTAATGAGAGGGGAAAGGCAGGAAATTTCCTGGTGCGCGTGCCCCAGGGTGAGCTGCCCGCAGTGCGGGGGCTGAGAGTCTGCACTCTGCACGCACACCGGCTCGTCCCCTTACGAAAAGGGGAAGCGACAAGTCTGTGTACCGCACGGGGCTGGAGTAAAGATACAGCCTCGGACAGTGACTTGGTAATGGGGCTTATTTAAATCCGCAGCAATGGCCTAGTGATATTGATCGCTGCCATAAATGGCACTGTGGCTAGTTTGTGGGTTGAACCCTCCACACTTCCAAAAAGCGAAGCTGTCCATGGTGTTTCGGCATTTACTGCTCAGCTGAGATGTTGGTAGTTGTTATATTCTTTAGCAGAATTTCTTTAGCAGAAAGTCATAACCTCAGCTCCTCTCCCCAGCCGTACACTCTCCATCTTTGGCTGCTATGCAGACACATCAGGCTCTTAGTCTTACACACACCTGTCATGGAAAGTTGATTTTGTGTTTTGGGAAAAATATTCATTAGGCTGTTTTACCTAGCAATACAGATAAGATTCGGAAAATCTCTCTGGGGGCGTACAAGGAGAAGCTGCTTTAAGTGACTCAGGGTTAGACATCAGCTGGCGGCCAGTGGGTCTCCGGTCTTGCTCCCTGGGATCCCAGAGTCAGCTGCCTGCTCGGTCCAGCTGAGCTCTTTCCCTCTTCCATGCCTCTTAGGCCTCAAACAGTTGGAGCTTGCAGGGTACCTGTAATAACATTGGAAATCTGCAGCTGTTTAACAGCTGAGGACTAGTAAAAATATTTTTGCTTGCGGTCCGTACAATTAAGTGTTCGCTTAGGTACCTCAGAGCTAAGCTATGCAAAAAAAGCTATCTAGAAGGGCTGTGTAACACAGGTTTGCTAAAAAGCCTGACGGGTCTGGGTCAGCATGTTAACTTTGCAACTTGGGTTAAGGATTGAAATGCTTTTCTGTTTAGTTAAGTTCGGGTCTGCATTTAGCTGTGTTTCCTTGCGTGCCATCCGAGGCAGTAGACAGGGAGCCTGTGCTCAGGATACTCTTTGCTGCCCCCTGCACTGTGGCACTCGAACACAGGCAGCGCTCGGAGGCAGGCTGTAGAAGAGCACCCGCTGCCACACTGCCAACCCACAGCGGAGAGGCTGGTCTGTGGACACGTCCTGCAGATGTGTAATCTGCTCAGCCAAGGCACGGGCTCTCGGTGCTTCGTTGTCATTTTACTGACAGGCAATGAAATAAAGCTGTACAGTAGCCCTCGCAAGCACCTCTGGCCTTTATCCTTGTGGCAGATACTGTCTTTGTACAGTCAAAGCTTTTGTAAGATCCAGCCTTTTTTTTGTGCAAAAATGTCTATCTTGCATATTAGCTGCAAATGAATATTGGTTTTGAAAGAGACAATTGTATTTATTTAAATGAAAACATTGTCTGCATTAACCTGGAGTAAAGGAGGAGGATGAGGGTGTGAAGAAAGCGGTGTAATTCTAGGTTATCAGCAGGAGAGTTGTTCTAGGCAGTCAGGTTAAAGGCCTTGTTTACTGGCTATCTTGTTCATGTTCCCTATCTGTACTCCTGAGTCACCGCGTGTCCAGTTCTAGAACCCTCATGTGCTCCATCCTTCTGCTGAGATGTAAGACTGAGATCCTGTTAAGAGACTCTGCAGCAACTGTTGTTGGGACAGCCTTCACCCTCAAGTCTCTGTCAGTCACGTTTTGAGTGCAATTTATGTGAAATGACTGATTCTGATTGTTCGGCGTCCCTCAGACCCCCGTCTCTATGCGCTGGTCTCAGGGCAGTTATAGCGTGCTGCCCTCTGTGTGTGCTCGCTGTGACTGCCACACTGCAACAACAGGCCCACTGTCACACAGACGGAGTGTGAGTGGGCGGAGGGTTTGGTTGGTCTGGATTGAGCACATTGTGTTGGGAATCATTAGGACTTGATGAGATACGGAATTGCTTGAAATTGTTGTTGGATTGTTGAGTGGGTGCTATATGGTAGGGTATAGGTTTATCCTGACTTCAGAAGTTAACAGGACAGATGTGAGACTGTTGATAAATCAGGTCTCAGTGGGGAGAAACTAAAACATCCGTTTCACCTGGGGAAAGAGAACTGAGGGATTCTTATCTGTTATACTTTCTCTGAAGCTTTCTTTGTTCGTTTTATTCAAATTCAAAACTATGTTTCAAATGGCAGTTTGCCTCTGATTACTTAACTGGAACAACATGACAGGAAAAACAGGAACATCTGCATATAAACTAAAAACTCATTTGTATCTGCTCCTAGTAAACAGAACTAACGGAATTGTCGCTTCAGGCATGGTTGTAATTATACATTCTCTTGCATATTACCTTTTTTATCAATATGTCTGTAAATCTGTACTTGCCCTTTAGTCATAAACCAAATAGGTACAAGTTTATAAAAGAGGTGTACACTGGGCCAATGTTGCAAGTGCATAACTTTTGTTACCTTGTCTGCCAAAAAGTGTACTTCCCCAGGGTTGGCATGGAGAGCTGAAAGTCCCAGAAGTCCCAGAAGAACGTGAAACCTTTTGGTGGCCTGTGCTACAAAACAAACGTAGTATTCTGGTGTGGGGGTCTGGAACAAGCTGCTAAGCCATGTTGTTCAAGCTGATAACCTGGCTTTTTTCAGGAAACAACTAGATCAGATCTTCTGATCAGTTAGCTGCAAGCTTTCTAGCAGGCTAGAAAGGATGAATAACCTCTCTCATTTGGAACTGTACCTATATTCTTATTAGAGTAGGCCTTTGTATAGAACTAGGCAAACAGTTCCTTGTTTGTT